TCAATCTGCCACCACCCTACTTTTCTCTCCTTATTTCTCCCCGCTCCAGTTCATTCTCCACTCAGCTGTCAAAGTGATCTTTCTATAGCACAGGTCTGATGATGTCACTCCTCTGTTCAATAAACCTCATGGGCTCCCTATTACTTCCAGAATCAAATATAAATTCCTCTATTTATCATTCAAAGCCTTTACAACCTTGTCTCCAACCTACTTGCCGAGCCTTATTACATACCTTCCCTCCTGTCTAGCCACACTCTCCTTTCTATTCTTCATACATGACATTCCACCTTCCATCTCTATGCCCTTCTCTGGAATGCACGCCTTTGTATCAAGACTCAGCTCAAGGGGCAGCTAGGTGTTGCAGTGGATAGAGCTCCGGCCTTGGAGTCAGGAGGACCTGGGTTCAAATCCAATCTTAGATACTTGACACTTACTAGTTGTGTGACCCTGGGCAAGTCACTTAACCCCAACTGCCTCACCAAAAGAAAAAAAAGACTCAGTTCAAGGGCCACCTTATACAGTACACGAAGTATTTCTCAATTCCCCCGGCTGCTACTCCCTGTTTCTCCTGCCCCTGTCACCTTTTATCTATTTGTATATACATTCAGGTTGTCTTCCCTAACTCGATATTAAGGTCCTGAAGGCAGGAACTGTCTCACTTTTGTTTTTGAATCCTCGGGGTCTAGTGAAGTGCTTGGTGGTCAAAGGCTGATGGATATGATGCCCCTCCGTATAGTCTATGTGTAATGTAAACCTCAGTCATGCACAGAACTTCCCTGTCTGCATCTGGCTGACCCCATGTCTTTTTTTTTTCCAGGCAATTGGGGTTAAGTGACTTACCTAGGGTCACACAGCTAGTAAGTGTCAAGTGTTTGGTCTGAGGCCAGATTTGAACTCAGGTCCTCCTGACTTCAGGGCTGGTGCTCTATCTATTGTACCACCTAGCTGCCCCAGACCCCGTGTCTTCTTACTGCTGACCAATGTAGGCACGTCAGGATAAGGAAGCATGCCCCTCATTGGCCCTTTAGCCCCAAGAACGGAGTTTACCAGTTTAAAAAGGAGAGGTAGCTTCTGGTCCATCCTCTCCATTGCTAGCCTTTTTCTCTTAGCTCTGCAGTATGGTGACTGCTCTCATATGGCAGCTAGAGAAAACGATCAATTAGATGAGTTTGAGTCTGGACCTCTGGCTGCCTCTTCTGCTTTGTGTTTCTTTGCCTGCTCATAGGTAACTGAACTATGATCCTGAGATGGACTCACCTTGTGAGTTTGAGAGGTCTGGGGATCTTGTGTGCTTGGTCAGTGCTGGGGGTGTCCCTCATATTCCTAAAGGTCTCACGAGAGGAGAAGATAGCCACTGGCTCTGGATCCCTGGGCTGCCATATTAGAAGATGTGAACCAGGAAGGGACTAGGTGGACGGTGTAGAACTAAGGCAAAATGTAAAACATTTAACAGTCCTCGTGAGCTGCATCATGTCTTGATGTTTTAAAATATCAGCCTCCCAGGACAGTATAACAGGATTATGTTATTGGTATTGCTTGTTGTTTCTGTCAATGCATGCTTATGGATCTTGGTTATCGTAAGCATTTCCTTTGTGCTGAGGAAATAGCTCTTCTATACCTTGTCTGTATTGTATAATGTGTATATTCCTATTCACTGCTTTTTGGAGAGACTCCAGACATTACCCAGACATAAGATTTCAGTAATTTTCCACGGGCCTCTGAGGTGGTGGTGCCAAAGAGTGTTAGAAAAAGAACCTAATCCATTTCAATAGAGGCCACGCTCCCACAGGATGAACCTGGTTATGCAGTTATGTAGAGAGGCCCCTTAGTGGAGGAGAAGGAGAGGTCTCAGGGCCTCAAAATCTCAGATTTGGCAGTAGTTCATTATTGTTAAATATGTTTCAGCCAAACTAGGATGCTCTCTATCTCTCAAACATTCCTTAGGCATTACATGTGCATTTCTCCATGCTTGGAATCTTCTAATGGAATTCTCTTTGCCTACTGAATTCCTTGTTGCTGAGTTGTTTTTCAGTTGTGTCTGACTCTTTATGACCCCATCTGGGGTTTTCTTGGCAAAGATACTGGAGTGTTTGCCATTTCCTTCTCCAGCTTATTTTACAGATAAGGAAACTGAGGCAAACAGGGTTAAGTGACTTGTCCAGGGTCACACAGTTAGTAAGTGTCTGAGGCCAGATTTGGACTCAGAAAGATGAGTCTTCCTGACTTCAGGCCCAGCACTCTAGGATAACCCAAATGTCTCTTCCTTTATTTCCTAATCCTTTAGGAGCTTTCTTTTATTTTCCCTTCTGGAACTCACATAGCAATTCTCTTAATGCCCAGATGGTATATCCAGATATGCCACAGGAGGGGCCCCTTTTCTGTCTTCCCTACAAAGTGTGAAATCTTTAGACAAGGTGTAAATTCTTGACTTCCCCACTGATGAGATCATAAATAGTCAAACCAACTCCTCAGGGAAGTAACTGGTCCAGTCCTTCCCTCTACCCTCAACACGATCTCTCTCTCCCCCCCACCCTGCTTCTCTTCCCGTCCCAAAAGAAAAAGAACTCATGGTTCCTAAAGAATCAAGCAACCTTTCTTCTTTTATTTTATTTTTTATTTTTCTGGTGAGGCAATTGGGGTTAAGTGACTTGCCCAGGGTCACACAGCTAGTAAGTGTCAAGTATCTGAGGCTGGATTTGAACTCAGGTCCTCCTGACTCCAGGGCCGGTACGCTATCCATTGTGCCACCTAGCTGCCCCTCTTTTATTTTTTGTTGGTCTTTGTCTTTCTTAGGGACCTAGTCTACCCTCCCTTATAGTATCACTCTGGGTGAGATCCTCTATACCTGATCCAGATTACATACTTTTGACATAATGTATATTACAGTTATCAATATATATATATATATATATATATATATATATATATATATATATATATGTCTTATCTTCTACCTGACTATAAGTTCCTTGGGGGAACAGATATGTCTTAGCTAAACTTTTTTCTCCTGTAATTAGCGCAGAGCTCTGCACACATAAGGTGCCTAATACATCTTTATTGCATGAATGAATAAGTCCACACCATTTGTCCACATAATCTAAAAATGGTATTGGTTGTCATTGTTCTAGTTTTGCAACTTCAAATCAGATTTCATGAACCTAGATTTGAATGAAGCAGATTTGCTATATGAAATCATATTCTCCATAATCATCTCTTTTCAGGATAAATACATCAAACTCCTTTCCCTCTGCCCCAAATGACCTATGAACTGTGCATTTTTTGGGGGGAGATTCTAATTTATAACGTCATATATATGTATATACACATTATATATGATATACAAACATACAATGCTTGGTATGGTACCACTAACAAATATTATCTCATTTGATCCTCACAACAACCCTGCAAGGTAGGGGCTGACGTTATCCTCATGCTGAGGAAATAGACACAAACAGAAGTCGTGACTTGCCCGGGGTCACACAACTTAATGTCTAGGGCCAAATTTGAACTTGGGTCTTCCTGACTGGCCCACTTTTTTATTCACTGTGCCACCTGATTGCCTCAGTAAGACGAAAGATGAAAGCTTTCCTGTTTTCACACAGAATTTGTTTTATAAACAAGATTCAGGATACTGCCCCATATACATGCCCTGTATATACTACTCAATACAACACAATCAAATGTATATTCTCACATGCCTGAGAAAATACAATTTCGTAAGAGAGTAAAACGTCACTAATACAGACTGACTTGATTGGGAGTTGGGTGAGCAAAAAGGGGATGAGACCAGGTTGAATGAATGAAAAATCTGAATGGATACGATGGGATAGGATCGGATAATTTATCACATTGGTTTAACATTATTTAAATTTTATATTTTATACAATACCTAGAAACATACAAAAAAGAAACATGTTCCCCCCCCCCAATTTCAAATCTGTACAACAACTGGAAATAGATCAACAACTGGATTTGGAGTTAGAAGACCTAGGTTCACATCTGTATCTAACATGTATTGTCTGCATTACATTAAGTCGGTTAACTGCTCTGAGACTCAGTTTCTTCATCTATTAAATGAGACAGTAGGAATAGATGAACTCTGAGACCCCTTCCGACTCAAAACCTATGATCTTGTGAACCATGCCTTAAGAGAGTTTCTTAGGAGACTTACTTTAATGTATAATTCACACACCAAGTGATCGTATCTGGTAAATGAAAGATTCTAAAATGCTTGACTCTTAAGAAATGCAAACATCATCCAGATCTTTTGTTTATACTATTAATTGATCTAGAACACCCCTTTTTTAATGGACCATATATAACTAAATTCATCCCAGCCTCATCTGAATTATACTAAATTTCAAATTAGTGGAATCCAAATAAATGAGGTTTTACAGCATCTACCCAAAGTGCTAAATACTGAATTAATGACCCAATTTTGACCTTTCCTGTAGTTGCCTTCAATCTTGATTTTATAGGCTGGAAAGCATGGAACAGAGTTTATTGTGAAATCTGCTAATGCATCCTGAAATCTATTATTTATAACAATAGCATCTATGACAAACACTTGTCCAGAGCCCAGAATTCCCTTCTGCTGCCAGGTTTATTCAGTCTTCAAGAGACTAAGAGACAGAAATTTATTCAGAATACTGATAAAATTTGTTTATATTTTTACTCTCTTTCTGGAAAGTTCACATTGGGCAATTGAAGAAGCATTCTCCTTTACACAGAATAGATTTCCACGCTGCACACCACTGTAGTTAGTGTTGCTTTGCAATAATGCAAGTAAGATGTTGTAGCAAAATCCCACTATGATGTCTCATGTGGTTGTTATACCCTTCAGATCTCTGCCAAGGTGGTACCAGCCTTAGTCAGGAACTAGCTAGCCTAAAGGTGTGCTTCTAGGAAATCATTGAATACCACTTGGTAGGGTACATCTGTACTCTGAATGACCTTTGGGTGGAGGAGAGTGAAGGGCAATGAGTTTGGCAACTTACCTCCATGTTGTACTTCTCCACCGTCCTTCTTAAAGGATCCACAGCCTGCCAGCAAATCAAGATGCAGAGATCAATCAGTAGCATCCCTCCAACAATTACCAGCAGTTTCTGGTCTTTAATGATCTGCAGGGACAAATGAGAGCAGAAAAGAAGGCAGAGGTGAGTTAGAGGTTTCCCTCTAGTAGCTGAAGGAGTGTGAGCTGCCGTGGGGTGTTTAAATATCATCTCCACGAACATGACTTTGGTCTTCTCCTTTGACATTTTCACTTTGAAGCAGACTGGATGTGGGGAAGAAACAGTGACACACTTGAGCACTTGTATCCTGGTGTCCTATGACCTTTGGTATTCTTCTCTTTGAGATTTGGAAGGGTAATTTATAGATTCATGGATTAGGAATAGTATATACAGGGCATGCATATATCATAGATTCATTGAAAAGGGCCTTAGGAGTCATGTACTCCATCTCCCGAGAGGCGGTTAGGTGGCACAGAGAATGGAGTTACAGTCCTGGAGTCAGAAAGACCCGAATTCAAATCTGGCTCTAGACACTTACTAGCTGTGTGTTCCTAGGCAGGTCACTTAACTTCTGTTTGCCTCAGTTTCCTCAACTGTAAAATGGGGATAATAATAGCACCTATTTAAAGCTTGGGTCCAACCATATCATTCCCCCACCTCAACTTAATAAATTCTAGTGATTCTCTATCCCCTCTAGGATAAAATAGAAATTCTTCTGTTTGATGTTCAAAGCCCTTCACAACCTAGACCCCCACCCTTCCACCTTTCCAGTCTTCTTACACCCTACCCCCCTGCTCTGTACCCCCTACATATTCTTTAGGACATGGAAACTAGTCTTTTTGCAGTTCCTTGCACAAGACACTCCATCTCTTGATTCTTGGCATCTTCACTGGCTGTTCTCCATGCCTAGAATACTCTCCCCCCTCGTCTTTGCCTCCTGATTTCCCTGTCTTCCTTCAAGTCCCAGCTAAAATCTCACTTACAGGAAGTCTTTCCCAATCCCTCTTAATTCTGGTGCCTTCCCTCTGTCGCTTATCTTCCATGTATTCTGTTTAGAGCTTGCTTGTACATAATTGTCCATATGTTGTCACTTCATTAGACTGTGAACTTCTTGGGGCCTGGGACTATCTTTTGACTTTCTTTGTATCCCCAAAGCTTAGCATGGTACTTGACACATAGTAGATGCTTAATAAATGCTTCTTTCCTTCCTTCTTTTCCTCTCACCCAAACCCCATTTTATAGGTAAGAAAAAGTCCTAGGAAAGGTAAGTGACTTGCCCTAGATTGCATTGCTAATTTGTTGCAGAATTGGGGCTGAAGCTCAGGTTTCCTAGAAGACTTGATGACAACAATGATGAAAACATACTAAACAGAGCCTTAAGGTTTATCAAAGACTTTTTTTTAATGACAGCCCTGTGTGAGGTGAGTTAGGTATCATTAACTCCATTTTATTGATGGGGAAAACTAAGGCTTAGAGAGATTGAAGGACCTGACTATGGTCACACAGATGGTAAGTTTCAGAAACAGGATTCAAATGCCAACCTCATAATTCTCTATCCAATTCTATTTCTACTAGGTCCCCATCTAGAATCCTTTTAGAAGCAGATTGTTTCATCATGCAGAGGGGTATAATGGTGTAGTGGAAAGAGACTTTGAATCAAAAGAGTCTGCAGCAAAAAGGTTCTTAACCAGGGGTGTGCTGGAGCCACCTTGACCCAGCTAGCGAGAGCCTATTGTTAAATTTTCAGTGTGAGCATTTACAGTTTAGAAATAGGTAAAGGCTACAAATCAGGTCTTGACTTATTATTTTGATGATTGTGTAGACTTAAGAAAGTGGTGGAGAAAATGTCAAGAAGGCAGAATATATTTTAAAAGTGTGTTGCAGATTATTTCTCCAGAGATCCAGTTGTTAAACATTTATCAGCACATCCCTATTCTTGACCATTTTTTGGGTATGTGCCATGGATCCCTTGGGCAGTCTGATTAAGCCTATGGACTTCTTCTCAGAATAATGTTTCAAAAAAAATTCATAATGGAAGGAAATGATAGATTTTTGGTTATAGTGAAAATAAAGATGTAATATTTTTTCCTGTCCAAGTTCATGAACCCCTGTGGATCCCGGGGGATAAGAATCTCTTGTCCAAAGACTCAAAAGACCAGGCTTCAAATCTTGACTCTGCCACTTAATAATGATGTAACCATGGGAATGTCCTTTCTCTTCTTTGGCCTCAGTTTTGCCTCCTGTAAAATGAGAAGTTTGAATAGGACAATCTAGAAGGTCTAAACATTCTGTGAGAGAAAACAAGAGCCGGTTGCCAATCCCGAGGCCTTTTGTTCTCTACAGACAGGTACAGATTGCAGTCCTAATTTGTGACAAAAATATTGTCTTTGTTGGGCCTTCATTGGGACAAAAACATGGAAGCAGAACTTCCTCTACGATATAGAAGCCACGTTATTGGTAGGTGGCAGTGTGATATAGTGGATAGAGTGATGGACTTGGAGGCAGGAAGGCCTGGGTTCAAATTTCCCTTCAGATGCTTACTAGCTGTATGACCCTAGGCAAGTCACTTAACCTGTTTCCTCATCTATAAAATGAGGGTCTTTGACTCAGTGACCTCTAAGATTCCCTTCCAGCTCTAAATCTACGAATATGACATTCGTTTGGAGTACAATGCCATAGTTTGAGAGCCTGGTGAATAAACCAGAGTTTGTAGATTGCTAACAATCCTGGCAGAAACTTCTTGCACTAGAAACAGGACTTTCCTAGAAATAACACTGTGTTTACTTTCGTGCACAAGTGTAAATGATTTGGTTTCGGGAAGGAGATTGTCACCCCAAGATAAGAACAGTGGATGCTAACTAGAGGGTTCAATTGGAATGAGTCAGAATGTACCAGGAAAAACTCCCCACTGACTAGATAAGGAAGGCTGAAATGGTAATGAGGAAGATTTTAGTTAAATTTAGTCCAACAAATATGTATTAGATGAGTATGATAGACCTACAATCTTGTAGGAGAGATAAAATAAATAGAAAGAAAATTGTAACATAAAGTATCATGTGATAAGTGCAAAGGACAGATCTAAGGAGAACAGTATGACATTTTAATATCCCAGACTTTCTGGCAGAAGGATTGGATAACCCTGGAAAAGGGTTGGGGACAGTAGCCCTTTCTCCAGAGCCCTTCACTGCCGGTTAGATCACTTACAGTATATGCACGTTCGGTCTGGTGTACTCCATCTTTCTATTCCTCTTCACCTAGAATCACGTTGTTGTTTAGTCATTTTTTTTCAGTTGTATCCGACTCTTCATGACCCCTTTTGGGGTTTTCTTGGCAAATATTCTAGAGCGGCTTGCCATTTCCTTCTCCAGCTCATTTTACAGATGAGGAAACTGAGGCAAATAGGGTGAAGTGACTTGCCCAGGGTCACACAGCTAGTAAGTGTCTGAGGCCAGATTTGAGCTCAGGTCTTCCTGACTCCAGGCCTGGCACTCTATCCACTGAGCCATCTAGCTTCCCAAGTCATAGAATAATGGAGTTTCAGGATTGGAAAGGACTGTGGAGGCTACTTGGGTTAGTTAGATGCTTTGAGCATGCATCTTTCCATACCCTGATATTCCCTAACTGGGTATATCTCCAGACTCTGTCTTGGGCCCTTTTTTCTCTTCTCACTATATTCTCTCTTGATGACTTCATCAGCTCATCTCTATGCGGATGACTCACAGATCTATTTAGCTAGTCCTCCACTGTCACCTGCATTCTAATCTTGCATCACCAACTGCCAAATGGACATTTCCAACCGAATGTCCTGTAATCCCAAACTCAATGTGCCCCAAGTAGAACAAGCCCACTTCTTAACTTCCCTATTTCTTTTCAAGGTTTTACCATCCTTCCAACTCAGGTTCACAACCTCAGTTCCCGACTGACTCTAAACACTAGATATCTAATCAGTTGCTGGATCAAGATAGAATTGAGATTCTACTTCTGTAACATCTCTCACGTGTTCATGCCCTCATCACCCCTTGGGTTTGAATAGTTTTCCAAATGGTCTCCCTGCTTCAAGTCCCTACTGCCAATTTCTCCTCCACTCAGATGCCGAGTGATATTCTTAATACACGGGTCTGACCATGTCAAATAAATTCCAGTGGTTTCCTATTACTTCTGGAATAAAATACGAAGTCCTTTGGCATTTAAAGCTATTCACAAGCTGACTCTATCCTCCATTTCCAGTCTTATTAGATTATTCTATTTCATAGAGCCTGTGGACTAGCAAAATTAGCCTTTTTGCTATTCCTTGAGGCCTCACTCCATTTCCCCCCTCTCCATGTCTTTGCCCAGGATGTGCATGCCTGAAACAGATTCTCTTTTTATCTTCACTTCTTAGAATCTCTAGTTTCCTTCAAAACTCAGCTCATATGTTACCATCTACATGAGACTATTCCTCATCGCCTCAGTTGCCAGTGCTTTCCCCCCCAAACAACATCATATTTATTTTCTATGCAATTATGTTAACGTGTTGTCTCCTTGTAGAGAAGGTAAGCTCCTTGGGGATGAGAACAACTTAATTTTTGTGTTTTATCCCCAGACATGAGTACAATGTCTGGAAAAGAGTAAACATTTAATAAATGGTTGTTGGTTGATCCAGTCTTTGAATACCTCTTATGACAGGTAACTCACTACATATTGCGGCATCCTGTGTTAAAATTGTATCTTGTTCTGGTCCCTCTGACCATTCTCTTCCTATAGTCATTATAGTAAGTAAGTCTATACATAGCCAGCATAAAGTAACAATTGTAGGAAGTGAGATTGCAAAGGGGAACTTAGAAGTCATGTTCAAACCCTCCCAAAGATCAAAGGAGTGTGATTTGCAAATTGTATCATATATTAACCAAAAGTCACATCCTAGTAATATGCGCTAAATCAAGGAAAGCCATCTAGGCTTTGCTGCCAGGGACTTTTTGGTTCTCTTATATATAAATCTCAGATAAGTTCCTGACATCCACAGTAAGACCAACAGAACACCAAATGATACTGATAACTGTGAGATGAAGTGGATATATTAATGTTAAAGTTTTACCAATAACTTTGAGATGATTTGGATATGTTAATGA